TAGTACTAGTAGTAGTAATAGTAGTAATGACCATGATAGTAGTAGTAGTAGTAGTAGTAGTAGTAGCAGTAGCAGTGGCAGCAGTAGTAGCAGTAGTAGTAGTAGTAGTAGTAGTAGTGGTAATTAGCAGTAGTAGTAGTAGTAGTAGTAGCAGCACTTGTAGTACTAGCAGTAGCAGTCGTAGTAGTAGTAGTCGTCGTCGTCGTTGTCGTCGTAGTAGTAGTAGCAGCAGTAGCAGTAGCAGTAGCAGTAGTAGTACTAGTAGTCGTCGTTGTAGTAGCCGTCGTAGTAGTAGTAGTAGTAGCAGTTGCAGTTGCAGTAGCAGTAGTAGTAGTAGCAGCAGCAATAGCAGCAGTAGTATGTAGAAGTAGTAGTAGTAGTAGCAGCAGTAGCAGCAGTAGCAGTAGCAGTAGTAGTGGTAGTAGTAGTAGCAGTAGTAGTAGCAGTAGCAGTCGCGGTCGTAGTAGTAGTAGTAGTAGTAGTAGTAGTAGTAGTAGTAATAGTAGTAGTAGTAGTAGTAGTAGTAGTAGTAGTAGTACTTGTAGTACTAGTAGTATTAGCAGTGCTAGTAGTACTAGTAGTACTGGTAGTAGTAGTAGTAGTAGTAGTAGTAGTCGTAGTAGTAGTAGTAGTAGTAGTAGTAATAGTAGTGGTAGTACTAGTAGTACTAGTAGTACTAGTAGCATTAGCAGTACTAGTAGTAGTAGTAGTAGTAGGACTGGTAGTAGTAGTAGTAGTAGTAGTAGTAGTGGTAGTGGTAGTGGTAGTGGTAGTGGTAGTTGGTAGTAGTTAGTGGTAGGTAGTGGCAGTTAGTAGTAGAAGGAGGAGAAGGAGGAAGAGGACCAGTAGTGAACATACCATTCTGTGTTCCATATTTTCCCTACACGACCCTGCTCTGCTTAACTGAACATATACGCGCAGAACGCCAATCAGGCCGGTGAGACAGCAGCCCGCGCAAGGCACCAAAGGAAGACCCTGCAGTTTCTTCTTCTTGCCTGGGTCGCGTCGGCTTGCGAGTGATACTACGCTGACTGACTCACCTGTGCCAATAATTTCTTTCAACCTCGTGATCCTGATGAACAGTCTTCTACCGCTCGTTTGGGCTGCCCTGCTTGGACCTCCGTCGCCCATTGCGCTTGAAAGGAAGGTGTCCTGCACCGACAGAGGTCGAAAAACTGCAGAACGATGGGCAGTGGGAGTCATTCCGTAGCGACTGTCATGGTAGCACAAATAAAGACAATTATCAGTCCTTGCTCAGATTCCTGCGGACGCCCTCCCCGATGGCGGAGACCGGGCAGAACCACCTGAGCGCATCCACTCTTGTAGAGGACCTCACCCACCTTGCTTCTTCGTATCCCGTTGCCATGTTGCAAAAGCTGTATCAGTTCGTTCTGTCCTTCGGGCGGTGAGCAGGCTTGATTGAGTTGTTGCTGTGGCACATCGGCTACGACAATGACGTGTATTGCCGTCATTCCAGTCCTACTTGTCATCATCCTGCTCCTCGCCACTTGTCTGCGGCTCAACACTGCCCGCGACTGCCCTCACCCTCAGTATCAAAATCTGGTCATTAATGCGAGCGTCAGATACAAGTGTCTCCATCTACGCTCCTGCAGGCCACTGCTAACGGACAATACCAGTTCCTGCTTGTCTTCTCTCGAGTTCTGTCAATCGGTCGTCTTGCTGTACAGTTTACCCAAAAACGAAGTCTATCTTACCTGTCTGAGCAGCAGGCACCAATCTCCTGCTCGGACTCAGTGGGCAATCCGACCTCGAGCGTGGCTGACTGCATAAACAGCACAACAGGCTCGACGGCCCGCGACTCAAGCCTAGAGACAGTGCATCAGCTTCTCATTGATTCGTCCAGCTACACTCAAAGTACGAAGCTCTAAGCCTTGCACCTCCGTGCGCCAGCACCTTTCACGCAATGTGCCCGAAGTCAGCAACTTCAAGCAACCTGAAAGAAAACATCAGTAAGGATTGGCACCATTTCTCCGGATTGGGATCATCGCGTCGCCCCACCAGGACACTCAGCCTCGGCCAGCCAGATACGTTCTGTAGTGATTCCTTTACAGCTTCGCCTTTCTCACCTTCGTCGCCACTGCAAGACTCGTGCCTGCATGAAACTTCGAGTCGTTGAGGCTTACAACAGGGCCCGTACCCGGTATTTCGCGTGTCGAACTTTCGCAACTCGCGGGTCCGTGCCAGTGTCTGTGGGATCTCAACCACTTCGCAGCAGACCTGCGTCGCTCCAGGCAGTTTTCGACTCCAGGGAGCGACTTGGCACTTCTCAGTCTGCCACTTTCTTCGGCCAATGCTGTGCAGCAGCGCGCCTCGAGCGCTGGCCAGTGCGGTGTGAAATCAACAACGGAGGTCGGGATCCAGACTGCAGGCAACAAAGTCGGCGATTGTCAAAGCTGAACCAGCGCTCCTGATCCACCCCTCTCTGGTGAGGGAATGCAGGTTGCTTGCGCAGAAGGCCTCCTGGCTGTAGAGCTCCAGGCCCCCTTCGCTCAGCTTTGCAGCGCCTGTGCTGTCCCGCAGCTTGCAGCGCCACCTGGCACAGCTTTGTGCGGGAGAAACTGAGACCATTAGGTTCCGCGGCCCAACCTCGTAACCTCGATTCGGGGAAATGGCGGCACAAGCAGCAAGTCGTCTCCTTGCCCGTTGGGCATCACCTGAAGACTCTTCTTTGGATTTCCTAGACCCAGTTCTAGCCTGCATCCTAAGACTGATGGGGGACCGGGTGCGGCCTGGATCTCATCCAGCGCAAGCTGCAAAGGACGCCCATCTTGAAACTCTGACCTGATAGGTTCTTGCTTCTGCTTCTTTCGGTGGGCCCGCGGCTTCTGCTGCTTTCACTCTGGCCTTATGCGGGTCTGAGAGAAGTGGATCTCAAAGGGTGACAAGGTGACAGTGTCGAGCCCCTTCGCCTGCAAGGCTGCGCAAGGAAATGAACCGCTGGACCGGGCCATGTTTCCATCTCTTGCACACCAGCTCTTGTCTTGGCAGAATAGTGCTTGGACTAAAGTCTAAAGGCCAGGAGGTGGGTAGTTCTCTAAGCTAGCGTCCCTCACAACAAGGACCCTACTTTAGAGAACTACCCAGGCCAGAGAGGCGAAGAGCCCGAGCCTCCATGGCCGATGCGCCTGGGAGGAGGCCGTGCCGGAGGTAGGCATTGGGGGGTCAGCCCGGAAGGGACTCTCGTAAGCTTAAGCTCAAGGTTAGTCGAGGGCGAGGGGCTCAGAGTCGACATGCCCTTATCAGTGCGTTTATAATATACTATCACCGGTGTGCCTTGCCATAAATGAATCTTCTCGTTGTTGCAGTGCTGGTGACAGATTAGAATCTCTTCTTCTTCTTCAGAGTCTATTCTCTGCGTGCACGAGCACCTTCAGGGGCATGCCGCTGCCGCAGGACCAGGACATGCACAGAAAGCCTCCCTCAGTGCACCTTATTTGTTTTTGGCTTAAGGGTTTAGGCTGGGTACTTCGGGCTAGGAGCGTGATGGGGTCGGGATTCATGGGTGGCTGACTGCGCAAACTGCACATGATGCTCAATCGAGGTTGCTTCTCGCCAGTGGCCCTGTAGCCGCTTGTTCAGAGTCACGCGGCTGCGGATGCATCTCATGCTAAGAACGTGAAGACAGCTCGGACATAGACGTTGCCATAATCGGCTGCATCTACTGGACACCCTGTATGCCTACGCTCGCGTGATCTCTCATGTATGATAACATACAGTACGTGAGTATCGCCTGTGCAAGTGACTACACAAAGGGTACGCCACCAGGTTTCAAGAGCAGAACACTTTCAGTCTCGCAGGCAGCATCGACCAGGCTCTATGCGCACAAACCACTTTGTGGTCTGTCTGTTGTTCTGGTATATGTCTGCGATCCTGCCAATGACGGCGCTAAAGCAAAACAACGCTGCCAGAACTGCAGCCCTCACAGCAGCAGCCTGGCTTCCAGCTTCTGCTTTCTATGCTTTGGCATCTTACTGCCATCATCCCTCAGCTCTCTCCTACTGGAAAACCGTCTCCGCTCGACGGACCGCGGCGCTGATGCAGCAAAGTGACTCTTTCTCGTGGTGCCCTAGGAGCCGAGAGCGAAGACGTAGGCAGCCAGGGCCCCGCCGACAGAGCCCAGCGCCAGGCCTTATAGCGACGTTTGAGAGGCTTCCTGAGTTCCGCAACCCTTCCCGTCTCAGCTGCGTCGCAAATCCTAATTAAAGCAGATTCTTGAGCGAATGTGCCTTATCTGTCTTGCTATTTACCCTGGTTCGGCTCTTGGCCGGTCGCAAGGGCTGAAGGAGAAATTCTTCCGGGTCTGAGTCCTCGGCCGCTATTCACGAAGCAAGCCTCGCAAGGATCGACTCCAACGTGTGCCCTTTCGCTGCTTCAATCCAACATGTGCGTACCGCATAAAGTCTCCGGAAACAGAGGCCATCGCAGAAATGCGTCCGCACGTCTTCCGCTGCTCGGCACTCAGAGTCGGAATCTCATTGATGACAATGAGGCATAATGAGGCCTAGGCAAGCACTGCTCGCACCATGCTGGTCGCAACAAAAGAGAAAGAATGAGAAAGATTCTATGTTGCCCAGTTCTCGCGTGCTCTGCGTTGAGTCTGAGCGTCACACGCAGTACCCGTTTAAAAACCCAAAGGTGGCCACCACGGCCATCGCAAGTAGGTCGCTGGACGATTCCTGAGCAAAGCTCCCACAACGACTTTGTGCTGCTGTCGTGCGCATCTCCTTCGTGCTACGTTTTGACATCGCCCTATACGCTTTACTCAGTCAGCGCATGACGTTGCTTTCGCCACGGCTACCATGATTATCTAGTGACCCTTGCTGCAATTATCGCGCAGCCTGCATGGATAGATACCGACAGCCCTATCATTGATCATCATAATGACCTTGAAGATGACTAAGACGTGGACCGAGACAGCGCAAAAGATCATCAGCGGGAGAAGGGCCGACCGCACGACCACAGTCCACTGCGAGGAGGCACGCTTCTGTCGTGTTCAAGGTCTCGTTCGCAGCTGTAAAACGTCCGCCTGGATGTTCCCATGGTGAAGGCCGCATCGGATGTGTGTCACAAACCGCGCGGAAATGTCAAAGAGCGTGAAGACCTTGACACTGCGCTGGTCCACAGAGATCCACAGAGCCCCTGGCGGCTTCCCCGGGCTGAGATCATGAGACTCCTGAGGCCGGAAACCGTTAGAAGGATGGTCTGAAACCAATGTCCTGGTTGTAGCCAGAGCATCTGCCTGCATCCACATGATCGTCTCCTAGCTGCAGACACCTTCGCAGTGCTGGCCTGCAAGGGATCGCGGTGATGAGACCGGGATAGCAGAAGGTCGTCAATGTGAAGTTGGCAATGATGGCCTGGGTTCTTCGGATGCAAGAACAAATAAGCTGCTTCTCATGTCTCCCCAGGTCGCTCACCAGTTGGTTCCGCCAGACCAGCTGTATCACGGTCTTGAAACTGCTGCCGGCCTACAGATCTGACAGATGGCAATTTCTGGCCATGAAAACTCTCAGGTGCCACGGCTGCCTTACAGTTCAGCTCGAGCTCTGCTGGAGAGTCCTCAAAGGCTTCCCACTTGGGGTCAACGTCGCGATCCTTGTGTAAAAAACCCGCAGCTCTCCTCAGAGTCTCGACAACCTCCCGGGCTGAATCCTTGCAAAATGCGAGAAGCCGCCACTGCCGGCACGGGGGGCAGATCAAGGGGCCGCGCCGCAGGCTAAGGGCAGCGGGGACTCGATGCTGGTTGCATTGTCCAGAAGCTTCTCATCCAGCTGGCCCTTGGGTCTGACTGAAACCGCACTATAAAAAGACACATGCAAGCTACGTATATCTAGGCTGAAGGCACTTGCTGCACGCACGTGCCGCGACACGGGCAAGGACATGAGCAGCCTGCGAGACACTGCAACACTACGTATACCAGGCAATGTAGGCAAATATGTCTTCTGTCTTTAGACTTTCAAGAGCTTGCATTGGCTTGCATGGTTTGTGCCGCCAGGGCAGGCCTGTACGATGCTAAGCAAACGATGACGGTCGCCAGTGCGATGGAGAAGTAAGCGCCTCAGGGTCACAGACTGCCCAGGCGGGTGCATCTCTGACGTGCAGGATGCTGTCCTGAAGATCCATAAATTATAGTATGTTGTATTATATTAAACTATACTATATCTTCAACCACACCCATATTGGTTGGAAACCTGCTCCTACAGAGACATCAGAGACTGCTTGCCTGACCACACCGCCTCGGCTAACCATAAGCATTCAGGGTATATCAGATAGCTCGCACGGTGCAGAGTTCTTCTTTCGAGCTGGTGCCAAAGAGCACATTCACACAGCGCTCACGGCCATAGCAAAAACATGTTATATCTTAGTGTGATATTCCATTATATTGTACTATGTTATACTGTATTATACTGTATATTATATTATGTATATTATATATACTATATGATACGATAGTATATTGTATTGTATGATACTATAAGACATTAATACGGTCTGCGTCGACAGCAAAACACTGGCAGTCTTGGCAAGTGCACTCCTTGAAGACTTGGCTCAAGGCAGGTGGCATCTTCGATGTCATGCGACATCAGAAGCTTTGTTGCATCCCGGTAGATCACAGAGACGAGGGTACCAAAGCCGATGCCTGCGCTTGCAAGCCTGCAAACCGTCATTCTCCGGGGGGCATTGTCACGCGGCCTATCTGCAAGAACTGCTGCATTATCGATGCGTACCTGAGCAAGCGCAAACCAAAACCCATACAAAGCACTTCGACGGCATTTAAGGTTCCGGCTGCGAGCACAGGGACAGCAAAGCAGAGTCCAAGTAGCCAGTAGCGACAGAGCCTTGAAGCAGATGCTTCACAATTGAGTTCACATCTGCGCCCGAGGAACCGGCACACAAGCACCAAGCCCAGCAACAGCTGGTAAAGCCTGCCACTCCGCCAGAAGCTACTGATGCAGCATAAAGAAGCTTTTCTGGTTGCAGAAGTGCTCTTCTAAGCGAGTCCCGCAGACACGGCCGGCGGAAGCAGCAGCCACCTGAAGACTTGGCGCACAAAGCAGTTGAAACCTCTGTGACATGCAGATCAGCAGAGGCCTGAAGCTGAGGATTGCAGCCAGGCAGAAGAACTGGCCCAGAAAGCCGCCCACGATGCGGCGTCTTAACCTGAGGCAGATCTAGGGATGCAACATGCAAAGGCATGGCACGGCTGGACTCACACTCCTGTGTTGAAGGAGGCAGCAGGGCTGAGGGCTGCAGCCATGCCAGGGCGCCGGCGAGAAAGTTTCTGTCAACGAAAGAAGTGCCACAGTGCCAACGGAACCGATCTGTGGAAAGAGTTGAGGCTTCTGCTGCCAAGGCCAAGGACCAGAGCCTTTCACGAGGCCTGGTAGACGACTGTCACAACGAACTCGATGTTCTTGTCTGGGAACAGGACCTGGCCCAGATAGAGCTGAACTTAGGGCCCTCCGCTTCAAGAGCGATGCAAGCTTCTTACCTTCTGCAATACTTGTAGGATACAGTAGTCCAGGCGTGCCTTCCAATAGTCAAACGCAGCCCAAATCGCTGAGATGGGGAACAAATATCCGATGCCAATCGCCAGCATGCAAATTTTCCTTGGTGGAGGACCCCGTGCAAATGACTCCTCTTTGTAGTACTAGGAGCAGCAGCACGCTGGAGCACGTGCAGGCTATCGAAATCGACGGCACTCTGAGCGCACGGCGCCGTGCCCTCCCCGTGGTGGTCGTCGAGATTGGCGGCCATGGTTCCGAGCCGGGAAGGGGTCAAGAGGAGAGGCCTGGGCCTCGAGATTCCTAGGCCTTGTCACAGAAACTCGGTACTCTCGTCCTGTGATATCCGGGCATGACCCGTGAACACCGCAGCAATCTTCTAACTGCCAAGCTCCTGTATAGACACCGTGTCAAGATACAATGTCCCGGTTTTTTGCGTATGTGACTGACCACTGATCATGGTAACAGCTTGTTAGTCTACATCCCTTGTTGCGCAGCTACAGCCATTCGCAACTTCTGCAACTGACCGAGGCAATGTGGAGTGCACCGCTGCAGTCAACAACTCAATGCTGGCAGTTGCAAGCAGAGACTCGAGCAACTTCAATTTTGCCAGTGACTTCCTGCAGAATTCTTCTGTGAAGCCAACAAGCTACATAACTACCCCATCGTGCTGGCGGCCAGTGGATTTCCAATTCTTACGTCACAAACTAGCCGTGACTAGCAGACCTACGGCCGGCGTCTCTTGGCGATTGCAAAGCCACTGTCCCGCTTCACTAATCAATCTCTGCACATGAGCCTGGCACAACCTGGTCAGCATTTGCCAGAATTTCGCGTGGAACTCCATATGCTGCAGCAAACGCTCCCGCCTCAAGCTTTTTTGAAGAGCTCTGCCTCTAAGTCATCCAACCTCTCGTGCCCAAGTGCTGTACTTGCCACTAGTACATCCTAGTACTGCGTCGGACATGAAATCAGTAGGCTAACATTAGCATCTATAGATCTCAGGAGCTCGCCCATCCATGAACAGGTCAAAATCCTGCCGAACCAAACGTGAAAAGTCGATTGAACTTCCTGAGTCTAACGACTCTAATGTCCTTCCTTAGGCCACATAGCTACCCGATTAAGTCTCATCTGTGAGGACTGCACGGGCGCAAGTGGAATAAAGCGACCACTGCAGATGGTACCAGCACGACACCGAGCAAAACCATGTGCACCACTCGAGCTTCACGTGATTCCATCGTACGCAAGCCCTGCAGATTTGCCAAAGTCCGAACGATTGTATTGCTGCATCCCAGACATGTCGTGGATTCCGCGTCCTTGTGGTACTGAACCATGTGCGACAGCCAGACCTTCGTTTCAGACAACGTGACTGCCCCTTCTTGAAATTCTCCCACGGTGGACAGTCACTGTTTCGTGGGCACTCAGAGCCGGACCAGGAGAATTCGAAGCTCGTTACTGAGCTGTTCCAGCGTCGGAGTGTCAATGAGGTTAACCTGAGTGGGCATTGACTACACATGATAGAGCTGATTCAGAGCGGCAATTACGGAATACCACCCTGTCAACTCATCGAATTTACCTGTTGTGCAGAGCTCTGGTCCACAGTCCACAGCTCTTTCTACAAGCGGTAAGCATACAAGCATGACATGAAGGCTTGAAGGGAGCACAGCATGATAGACAAATCTCCCATTCCATCCGTAATCTTCCGGCCAGATGCTGAACAGCTAGTATGCCATGGTGTGCCACATAGCACAGCAACCCTTCAGCCCTGAAGAAGCGGGGCTCATGTTGAAAAAGCAACCTTGGATTCGCAGCAAGTCATCATGAATCATACAGCTGGCCAGTTTGAAACTATGTTGCCATGCCTCTCTTCACTGGCGGCTGTTGTGTTTCATCTGATGCCGTGATTCTCATGGAAACGGCTTTTAGTGGTACTACTGAAAGATACCGATAGTAGTAGCACTGCACTAAATGCTTACCGGATGAAGTACCGGTAGTAGGTTTGTTGCTGCTGTCTACTTCTTGGTAGCTGATAGTATTCTTCGAAATCAACGTAAGTAAGCCTGCAATAGCACTGGAAGCACAAGAAACTGTAGGCATAAGAGGTGCATTCATGGCCAATGGATTTTGGCAATGGCACGAAGTAACGTCAAGACTGGTGATTATTCTAGCAGTCTTCGTTGTCTTGGTGATGGTGCTATTACCACAAGTAGCAGTAGAAGTACTGGTGGAGTGGCAGTAGCAGCAGGAGCAGAAGCATAAGAAGGAATAAAAGTAGTAGTAGTAGTAGTAGTAGTAGTAGTAGTTGTTGTTGTTGTTGTAGTTGTAGTTGTAGTAGTAGTTGTAGTAGAAGGAGTAGTAGTAGTAGTAGTAGTAGTACTAGTAGTAGTACTAGTAGGAGTAGCAGTAGCAGTAGCAGTAGCAGTAGCAGTAGCAGTAGCAGTGGCAGCGGCAGTGGCAGTGGCAGTGGCAGTCGCAGTCGCAGTAGGAGTAGTAGTAGTAGTAGGTGCAGCAGCACTAGCAGCAGCAGCGGCAGCAGCAGCAGCGGCAGCGGCGGCGGCAACAGCAGTCGTAGAGTAGAAGTCGCGGTAGGAGTAGGAGTACGAGTAGGAATAGGTATGGAGTAATAGTAGCCGTCGTCGTGGTAGTGGTAGCAAAGAAAGCTATAGACGGAAAGCACAGGTCATGTACCATGACAGTCACCAACGAGGATGCAGAAGTCTTCCACATACACGGAAATACACGATTCAGTCAGTCGCAACACACATTCCTATCGTTGTCCAGTATGTCTCTGCCGTCATGAGAAAGAAACGTGGTGTTCAGGCTGCTTGGACCGGGGCTGTTTTGCACAGGGGCCGTCTCGCGCTCGTCGACCTTACTCGGACATCTTGGGATTGGATGTCGGAGAAAGGTACAGCGGAAGTCACGTTAAGCACCCTGCGCCACGCCTGAATCCTGCAGAACCTGCCAGCAACTGAACAGCGGAGAAGGCACTAGCGCTCGAGACCTGTGAGTAATTCTCCCGCAATCCCGACTCTTCAGAAACGTGGCTTCGTCTGAGAAAGATGGGATTCGTGTTTGTGAGGAACAGCTTCAAGCATGAGACACCTCCTTGATGGCTTGCTGCTCTGTGCATGCATCGCCAATGGAGAGGACCTCAAAGCGGGTATGATCCTCTCGCACTCCAGAAAGTGGCGTGTAAAACTGTAAAGCTGATTAAAGCTGCAGGCATGGCACGTTCTGCCGCCACTTCTGATGTCGGCCATAGAACTTCTCCAGACAGGCCACCATGTCGATGCGCTTGGCCTCAACGTAGGGGTCCCGGTCCGGTACCTGGAGAAAGCTCAAACTTATGCAAGTCACAGCCCTTCACCCTCCAAGGCCCGTGCGGCTCTGTACACTGTGATCCGCAGATGCTGCATCTTGCGGCACTCTGCCGTGAGGTGCTGGCTAGAGCCGTTCACCTCACAGCGCCCTTTGCCAAAATCTCGCCGCCCTGCCCCCCCCCCACTCACCGTCCTCGCCTCTGAGAAGCGATCTCCAGGATGCACCTCCTGGTCCGGATGCTCCTGGTTCCACTTGTCCATCAAGCCGCCCTCCTTTCGACGAGCGCCAAAGTCTTCCAAGTGAGCCCTTCAGCTTAGCTCATTCTCGCCTCGATGCGCGCCACGGCCAAGGAGCCGTCGAACTCTGGGATTATGTCCACGCCTCAGTGCACATTCTCCTTACTACGGGACTTCTGCTCAAAAACTGGGATCTGGACGTTGATGTATTTCCTGCCTTCTTTGATGGCAAGAACTAAGCTTCAGCACCCTTCGCAGGCTTGGCAGCCAAAGGCCCACAGGGCTCTCAGTAGTTTTACTTGAGTTTCGGGGTATAGGCTACTATGCTGTATATCAAATGTACTGTAGTTATATTGTGCCTATTATGGTGGTTGTTGCTACTACTATTCACAAATGTCGAAACATAATCATCAACACTACATACAACAACAAGGCTGAACGGGTAAGGGTTCCACCGATGCGACCACCGGAAGAACGATCCAGATGGACATCCCATTTTTCCACCTCTCGGGCATAGCCCATGGGCTGAGCGATTGAATGCCATGCGGATAGCCTTGCCCATCTGCCAGAGGCCACGAACGACCTGCCTTGTAGGTGACGGGTATGTTTGGCAAATGCCTGCGTGCATAGTAGATCGGCCTTGGCGGGTACGGGAACACTGTCGGCACCGCAAGGAGCCAGCTCAACCACAAAACCGGGCTCTTCTCACAAGGCTCCCACACATCCAACTCACGGAGCAAGCCCTCCAAGTCCAGTCCCGGCAAGTACCGAGCCTCGCATCACTTCAAGAGGCAACTTGCAGAGGTCGAGCATGTCCAACTTTAGCTTACATTCATGGATCTACATATGAACAGGTTCCTCACCTCGATGATCTACTAATACTGTACGAGCAAGCAACATTTACGAACATGATACCAACACACGCACATCCTTGCATCTGTGGACATTAGCATTCAAGACATGTCGTTCACCTCCTACTTCATATTAATATATATATATATACTTATATCTATAGATATATATATATATATAGATATATATATATATATATAGATATAGATACAGATTATAGATGTAATACATTTATATATATATATATACATAGAGATATATTTGATCAAGTGCTGAGCCGCTGAGCTGAGGCCAAGGCCGAGGAAGCCTCGACCCAGGGGCTCAATGAGTTGGACACCTCGCTGTGGCTCCAAACGGTTTGAGGTGCCTGGTTTGGGTTTAGGGTTTAGGGTTTAGGGTTTAGGGTTTAGGTTTAGGGTTTATGGTTTACATGGGGGTTTCCGAAAATAGGGGACCCTAATATAGTACCCTAATTAATAGGATCCCTATTATAAGGACCCCCAAAATAAGGTACATATGGGGACTTCAGGGCTTCTTCGGCTTGGGAGTAGGGACTCGGAATTTCTCTCATGAGGCTCATCAAATGGAGTCGGCCAGAGGAAAAGGATGTCATGGTATCGGTATAAGTTTCAGTGGCGGCAAAGGAAACCCAACGAGTTCAACGAGCAAGAACCCCAACTGCTTGACCTATCCAAATCCAGCATGAACAAGTACCTCCCGACTGACATTGCAGGGCGATATCTTGTCGGTCAGCGAGTGAACAGAATTTCAAGCATGTAGATGTCAACAATGCTGGCTCTTCTTCGAAGCGAGCCTGTAACGGGAGGAATGCTGCGCTTGAGCCCTCATAGATGTGATATGACGTGGAGCAAGTAGCCAGACCTTCCCTCAGCTGACTCGGGCAAAGAGAATGGAAGAGCTGAATGCCCACGCCACGCGGTCCGACTATCAGCTCAAAGTGAGACCGGCCGGGGCCGCTGCAATCGCTACTCGTGCAACTCGCCGCGCCGTCCGCAGCAGAAACCCGACGAGATGAGCATGAGCTGCGAGTGCACCCTGCCATCAAGTTCGTTGCATATCATGCCAGCGCAAAGAACGATGTCAACCTTTCAGTGACAGATCAAGACAGACAGTTAAGCAACCCAATTGCCGTTCTGAAAAATGATTAGATGCTTCGCGTCCCTTTCCAGCAGCTGCCTGTGGCCTGCCCTACTGGCAACGACACGGCGTAGAAAACCAAGTCAAGTGTTAGTCGTACGTGGGTTGATCGGTTAGTCCGAAAGCGCTCCTGGTCAGGATTGCCAGACAGGTTGGTTTAAATCGGTGTACTCAGAACTGATCCGTTACTTGTAACACTGCCAACACACGCTTCTGCTACGTCTTGCCTGGTGCGGCGAGGACTCTGGAAGTACTCCAGCACGATCTGGCCAAGATGCTGCGAGACGACTCGGGAAGAATCCTACACGGCGGAATTCTGCCTTCCTCCGGCAGGCTAGGAATCACCGTGCTCAAGATGTACCTGGCTGCGCCAGGAAGCCATAATGGAATTTCTATGCAGAGCCATCGGCGAGCATTAGAGGTGTGCTTTCGTCAATCAGACCTGGAAACATTAAGTTGTTAGTGGCACGTTGTGGGCAGCAGGGTGTCATCCCAATCGAAGATTATGACGGCATTCTCGCGATCCTGGAAACCCGGATCTGCCACTCCTGGCACAGAGCCGCTGACCAAAATTGAAAAGGGTTCGGCGGTATAATACAGTACGTATTGCTATAGGTATTTAGGCACAACAAGGTGATAGTGTTGCTGACTTTGAAAGCTCCCTTTCTCCCATGTGCAAAGTGATCTCCACTCACGCCAGAAGGCCTAAGTCGTTGCCCAAGAAGTCTTGGATGAGCGCCATCTCAGCGTATGGCAGAATGCAAATAAGTCACCTGATGTTAGTGTCTTGTCAAGTCACTGGCCAGCTTACTGTCCACTCGCACGCCAACTTGCAGAGTCCACCGGCCCCCGCCCGCGTCAGCTTGCTAGGATTCCTGCCAACTTCCTGGTCAAAGATTTCAAGTCGCCACAGGCCTTTGTAAAGCAGAGGAGTATGGTTGAGCAGCATGCAGGATTTGCATTTGCAGAGTCACGTTCGTCCCAGCTTCTAGTGTATAATTCCATGATATTCTCTTCATCTCATCTGGCAGTCGATCCTCCTGGGTATCATGAAAGCACAGACGAGGCAGACTGAGGCACCTGGAAACATGACGCCGGCGGACTGGGCGAAGGCTTGCCTTTCAGCGCGTCCTTGCGCTCAAGGACTTGCACTCAACGCAGGAGGCTCCTTTAGCAGTCGTCCTCGGGTGAATCGTTCATGGCTTCCAGTGCCAAGCTGTTGCCCTGTAGGTCTGGAGACGACCTCAGCCAGGCAAGCGGCAATGACATAAACGCACCTTCGAGCCCTCGAAGACAGTCTCAAGATCTCAGGGAAGCTCTGACTGAGAGTGACCCCATCTTCCCCAGGGCCAGTCAGCACTGGGATCAGGAGTCTCTGTCACATCTACACGAGCCGAGCCCTGCTCCAAGGCCGCGGCATTGCTGTGCGGACGGGCATACCAGAATGCAAAGAGATGTCACACCGAGTGGCCTTAAGACCATGATGCAGCAGTAGCTGGTTGGCAGAAGCTCAGACCGATCTAGCAGGGTTTCCGCCCCTGCTCCCACTTTCCACAGTCATATCCATCTCGTGGGGCAAACACAAGGCCAGGAAGCGTTAACAGTCGCGCGCCGCCCCGCCCCGGCAGCAAAAGACTTTGCGGACTCGGGCGAAGGCAAAGTGATGAACCTGCAACCAGTCCAGTGGGTACGAGGCACGTTTCAACGCTCAGTCGCAGGTAGCATCTTAGGGCCCGGGGCTGTGGGCAACTTGGCATAGGATTGGAAGGGACGCCCCACACACAACAGAACCACTGCGCTATGCTCCAAACACCGTCAGCCTTCTCCAGCGCGGTGTCCCGTCGTCCCTGCTCTTCTGGGCTACGCTTTTCCTTCCTGGCATCCCGACGAGCAGTGAAGAACGAGACCCTATTGTGCGGAAGCTTGGCGACATCTCAGAGTTTGCGGACTGGCAAAGCGACATTTACAGCTGCCGCCTGATGGCAGGAATTGGTCAAGGGATTGGCTATTGATGCTCTTGGGTGTCGCAACGCTTCAGTGAGCTTGAAACGGCTTAAGGAAGTGGTCGGAAGTTGGGGAAAGTGTGGGGGCGTGGGAGGGTATCCTAGAATGTATAGTATAGAAAGAACATGTGTGAGATCGCTTGGCTTTCCCTGTTCGAGACGAACGACGACTATCAACACCAATGAAGCGAGACACCTACGAAGCTAGCCCTTCGACCACGACAACACCCAGAAAAGCTGCACAACAACAAATTGACAGAACGGAAGCCTCAATCATGCGGCAGCGCCTCACAAGTCGTGGAGCACCCACTCGGTCCTCGAACCAACCTTAGCATCCGAGTAACAAACTGCTGTTTCCAAGCACCACGTCTTGACCGTCTTGCTTCTCCCTGCGAGGTGCCACGTGTCTGGAGTCTGGAGATACGCTTGAACAGCACGTTGCTCGACTCAGCCGAAGACTGCGGAAGCCCATGGATTCGCTCCCCACGCCTTCGTCTTCACCTTGCTAGAATGTGCCCTGTTGTGCTCACCCCCGTCTTGTCAGTCTTGTCTCTACAATCCTTGCAGAAGCTGCTTCGAGCTGGGCCGGCGGCAAGGCCTAGCATGGCCCGTGGCGATGGACAGGACGCCGGCTTGACCTCAAACAGTTCACTCATCATAGTATGCAACGGCGCACCCAGCTGCGCAACCACATCCAAGGAAGCACCCACTCCGTCTGGGGAGACGGGTGCTGCTCAGGCATGGAGAGTCGGCAAGTTTTGCATCATCCCATCCCAAGATTAGATGCTGCACCGAGCATGTCGCTGTCGACTTCGTCATCCTGCGCGGAATGAATTTCCGAAAACCTGGGAGCAATCGGAGCCAAACCGAAGAGCTGTTGCGCAGATGGCTTTCGCCAAGTCACGCTGGGCAGGACTGCTGATTGGCGCGGGTTCGCGACCTAAGCTGCATGGAAGCAGATCCGCGACAACCTCCATTTCGGCATTTACAATGGCTTGGCATCCCACAACTCAGACGTGGTGGAGGAAGTCGCCATGCCGGACCATTCCTCTATGCCTTCCTTCTAAACGATTGGAATGATGCGAAGGGGAGGCTTCTGAAAGTCTCGGCCAACTCCCTGATGCCCTTGTGCATTCAGTCACCTGCATGTCTAGTGTCCAGACTACGATCTGTAACTTCATTCAAGAGCACCAAGTAGCCCAAGTATCTGCAGCATAAGAGTCATCGGTGAGTCTACACACCACCTTAATCGTCTCAGCCCGGATGTCCACAAGCCACGCTCTACGCTGCAAGCCAGCACGTGCCAGTGCTCTCAGACTGTTTACCGTTTCTCTCTCCACCCGCCCCCCCGCAAAGCACAAGACACACGAAGTGCCCTCCGTTACATAAATGACCATATTCCTTTTCTCATGCAGACCCAGATCGACTCACAGGCCTAGCCCTTCTGTTACATGATGGGCACATCATTGCATGGAGGGCGCCGCTTCTACAAACTGCGATCGGAGCTAACATCATCCGAGTCTAACCACAAGAGAACTTGCTGCGGCTCCCCTCTGTGAAGACATCAACTACTTGGTTCTGTGCCTCTTCTGGGCCTCATAACTACGTGCTGTGTAACGTGAGCATGCAAGGCCGCTTCGTAATCCTGCCTACTCTCACTTTGCCTGCTGTGGCCTCCGGCTGCTCAAGAGGATCTGCTCACGGCTTCAGGCGAGGCGCATGGCCGCCGGTAGTAAAGCTTGAATTACGCCACCGAGATACGTCGCCCAACTGCAAGACTGGCAGAGTGCTCTCGTGGCTGGCAGGCGAGAGATCAGCAGTGTGGTAGTTGTGGAATACTCCGTTCTGACTATTTCACCTCTGCAGTCCCTTTCTCCGCTGAGCCCTGCCCACAACCTGCAACAACTTCTGAAGCTAAGCTGACTAGCCGCTTCTGGAACATCTGCGGTCCTGGGAATCGCAAGCCTTCCTCGTGCTGTGCGACAGGAACCGCTGGGACAAAAACACAAATTACCTTGGGGCGAGGCAGGAACAAGACGATACAGTATAATGTTTTAGTTTTGTAGCGTGCTTTCCTGCCTCGACCCGTTCTGCTCAGCCTCCTCCTGGTCTGCATGCGCTGAGGCGCTCATCCGAGAATGTGCTCACGCAGTCCTTCCAGCGAAGAGCTTGTGTTTTCTTTGGCTTGGCTCACCACATCTCGTTTAGGTGCAGTATCTTCAGTTCTCAGGTCGTGCGTCTTTTGCCTGCTCTTCCATGTCGAATGACATGTAATATGAAGTGCTGCTATGTCAGTGTTGCTCGGTGTTCGATGTAAACTCATAACTCATCTGGCTGCAAATTCGTGTTCGAAACGAAACAACGGCTGGTACAGTCCGTGTCACTTCAGGAAGCGGTACACCATCTCCGCAGCACTGACGTCGACACAACAGTTGACCCTCGACTTTTCCATCGACCCAACTTCCCCACCCTATCGGTCCTCGGTCGCCCAGGAGAACACGCTGTTGGTTCCATGGACCGCCGTGGCCCGTCCAGAGCCCAGAGCCTTCTCCTCAAGCGGTGGCCTCATGGAGGATCCGGCCACGGAACAAGGGGTGAACTGCAGCACCTCCTCCGCGTCGCTTTGGCCTGCAAGTCGCAGCCTTAGCAAAATCTCTCCATTCTCGTGGACCAACTGCTGGAGTTGCGTCTCCCGCAAGGCCTCCACGCAGTCGTCCCAGATCACATCCGCCGCTTGAAGCTCTGTCACAGCCAAGACCGGACCGCATTCCAACACCCATCTCGTCGCACGGACCAAGACATCGACTGTGTCCTTTTCAGGGAGATTCAGAGGCCGAGGTGGGGTGTGGAGTTACATCAACGAACAGGAAAGACGAGCATAGAGACAACAAGGTAGTCCTCGCTCGCCAGGCGAAGCGTTCTTTTGTGCTCCTCGTCATCCTCCGGACTGGACGTCTTCACACGGAGCATCAATGCCACTGGCTTTTGACAAGCCTCAAATCTCAAGGAGCATGCCACCTTTGGGGATTCGAGATCCTCCGCAACGATCTCGTATTGCTCGTCCAAGGGGTCCGTAGGATCTATGTGTGTGCCATCAGCATCAATAAGTTCTCCGACCCCGGTCTTGTGCAGCAGCACGAGGAGCTGTTGACGCAAGGCTTCGATGCTGCTGTCTCGCGTCACCCAAAATAAGGACTGCCTGCAGTCCTGATCCGGCCCGTCATCGCCGACACGGATCACTGCACAAGAACTACGAGGAGCGAGTCTTAGCTTGATGTGCTCTCGGCCCTGCGTCTGGCTCTCTGTGAGAAAGGGCTCGGAGTCTAGCAGGTCCAGGATCGGCACGCTTCTTGTAGCCTCCTGTTCAACAAATTGACAGCACGCTCCATGGCTGTCCCAAAGAAGAACCACAGAGGACGACAACAAACTCGACAGCAGCTTTGCCCGTGCATCCGATGCAAGGGCAAAGTCCTCTGCACGATCACCTCGCATCAACTCCTCAAGCCCAGCCATAACGTGTCCCAACTTTGCTTGTGAAGCCAGTCGCAGATCCATGGCTCGATCCGCTCCAAGCTCGGCATGAAATGCAACTTGAATTTTTTGCTCGACAGTGAGATGGAGCTGCCCAATCCGTCTTCCGTAAGTGAACAACGGGGTGTCTTGCGGAAGGATGATGAAGCTCCCGTCGGCCAGGGCTTGCCCGAAGGCGGAGAACATCTTCAAGACGCAATGCCCCGTCAGCTGCTCCTCCACAAGCAATGTTTCCAAGAAGCTTCCATCCATGCTTCGGACGGTCGCCTGCACCAGAACCTGCATGATGCACGGAACCGCAGGAATGATGTCTGATTGCAAGTGGGATGATACGTAATTCTGAATTTACTAATTTACTTTGTGAGATCTTGTGAGCATATCTTGCCTCGGCCGCAATCTGGTCTGTCCCAAGCTGCATCTGAAGGAGCTTCTCCCAGCTGTCAACCTTGTGCACCTCTCCCTCCGCGCGGATCACCAAGGCCAACTCTTCGGGACAACCAGGAAGTTCGAGCTGCGGGAGATGCATCAGCTGCTGCAACACACCCTGGATTCCTCGGCTGCGCATGCAGGCCAAGTGCACCGGCGGCTTGTCGTACACCTTCAACTCCAACTGGTAGAGGTCCGAACGTGGCTCAAGGGTAAGCTGCAAGGCCATTGACTCCACTGTCAAGGGCTCAGTGCCTTCAATCAAGCCGGCAGAGCTCCACATGACCACCTCACCTGCAGGATCCCCACCGTTGTTGGCACCGAGTGCAATCCTCGGATCATCCCGAAAGGACATGCCGAAGCCCTCTGACACTGTAACTGCCTAGCTCCTTGAAATTAGCACGCTGTACTCTTTGTTGTCACCCTCTGCGCTTGAGCATGCCGATCAGCCAATTGCCCTGCTTGCAAATCATTCTGCCTCAACTATGATTTTCGTTCCTTCTACAGGTCCTGCATGCTGCCGCTACGCAACAACATAGCTGCTGCAAGTTGCTCGCCGCGGTCTTGGCTTTCTGCCAAGCATCTGCCGTGGGCTCGCGCCAGTCGCAAAATAGTGAACCCGCTCTGTGGACAGCGCCCAACAGTCTGTGGAACCTGGGCTGTCGAATCAAGGTTCGCCATCCTCACACTGGACTACGATGGCTGTGTCCATCGTGACTGATGGTACGTGATAAGGACATGTACTTAGAGCTCAACAATGAATTCGCCTGGGCTTCTCCATGCGGAGGGCCCAAGCTCTAGTTGCCAACGCAAGGCTTGACATTATGCGGCCCAGCGGCTCAGAGTATACAACTGCACGTGAAGTCCGCGAACTTGCCGGGGCCGATCGGAAAGCATCTGCGATGGGGGTAAAAGCTGCATGGTCCTCAGTAGGGTTTTCGGCTAACTTCATTCCCGAACTTGGCACGGCTTGGAGGACATTGCATGCCAACAGCCAATAGTAGAAGCCCCTCCAGCTAAATTTCATCCGCGGCTCTCGACATCAGCAAAAACGAATGGAGGATTCACGTGGCCATCCCGTTGAAGCAGCGCTGCGACCTGCAGCAAGGTGGCGTCCTTGCACATCCTCTTCGTCCATGTGATCTCCTCCGTGTTAACTGCCAAAACCTCGACGACAACCACCTGCGTGGCAAACACCATGTCAAACCAACTTTGTAGGTATTTAAGGCATGCCCCAGACGGTGCGGACAGAAACCTGTTGCTGACCCTTTGTAGTGCCTCGTCAGCTTGCACCAGCCTCAAGTCTTTGTGCTGCGGAGCATCGCGGGCTTCCACCTCCTGGTCGTTGGAAACCAAGAAGAAGGTATCCTCTTCCTCCTGCCCTGGGCTTTGTCGGACTCAACGAGTGGATGGATACTTGGATACTGGAAGGGCTTTCGCTTTGATGCGACAACGACAGCAAAGGACAAGCAATGCGAAACCAGGCCACTTAGCATCTCCTTGCAAACGCACACTCTTTCAGCCCAGGCTCGCAAGTGGAAACTTTTGATTGCAAGGGGCAAAAGTGTCGCAGGCTTCGCCGAAAGATCCTTGATTTTTTTGTCGTGGGATGCAGAATGGCCATCGTATCCTCAGCAGCCAAGATGGCTTACCGGTGCTAAGATCGCAGGTGATAGAAGCTGCTAGATTCTAGCACTTGCACCTCCATGTGTTTGTTGCCTAAATATTGAAAGCAGTCATGAGGCTCACATTCCACCTCATCGCCAGTCTCCCGCTCGTGTCGGGCTGCTGAACGGCGGCCGTGCTCACCGTCTGCAGAAGCAGTTCAGCAGGCACGGGCGACCATCTCAACTCGCGCAGAACTCCTGTCACGCTGAAGTCCAGTTTAAAGCCTCACATTACTGTCGGGAAGCTTTGCCTCATGACCCCAAATGCATCGTCCTGAAGGCTCCATCCGTAGAGGACAAACACGCTGCCGAAATGTGTGCCAGTGCTGGAACGCACCCTTTAAAAGCCTCACCATCTGACAACTAAGGTCGGTTAGAGGGCCAAGCCCAATGCAAAGCCACAGCTCCAGTGATGCCTTACAGTTACAACTTGTCACGAGACTGAGCTGCCCACAACAATCGAGTGGTACCTTCTTGACAACGAAGTCGCTCAGCCCGAAGCCTTCACGACGGAAAGGGGGCAGCGACCGCACATCAGGTACGTGCGGAATTTCTCCAGATGTTTTATCTTTATAAGGTGCTACTGCATACTCTGCAAACAGGTCAGTGCAGCTACCGCCTCATGAGAACACACCACGAAGCAACGTGCACCATCTAAAGCATGGGATGGACACAGCTTGAAGGATTGCGATGATGATGCGAGCCTCCAGCGACGCTGAATGACTGAGGCGGCACACAGCCGAAATTTCGTTGCATGAAGTCGCTCAGCCCTGTGCCTCGACAAGCAACGCATTGAAGGGACGGCCGGTCCCGCTTGTATGGCATGCAATGAAGCTCGAACGCATTGAAATGCAACCGCGTGCTGTAAGAAAACGAATGAGATAGCAATAGCACCTGACCCATCCCTACCTCCTAGCCACAGCTGCGTGCACACTTCAGACTCACGCAGCAATCATACACAGAGTTGAGATCATGCGAGCCTCCAGCCATGCTGAACGACTGAGGCAGCACGATGACGAAGTTTGTTTGCTTCCTCGCGTAGAAACTTCAAAAGTGATTTCGGCATAGCATCAGCACTGGAATCAGCACAGCTCAGCAACCGACATACTACTTCAAGGAATAAGCAGCAATATGAATGCTCGCATTGCATTACCATTACACAGCTGATGTTAATACCAGTGCTTGGCTCCTCCAGGTTCAGCTTGAGCTTGCGCCAAAAGTGCTGCAGCTTCATGGCAGCTGCCGTTTCCAAGACTCCTGTGTCTTATCCAGCAAATCATGGAATCATAAGGTATGTTGTAACGTCGAGGCCAACAGGGCCAACAAGAAAAGCGACCATGTCTGAATGCACGGACTTGTACATACTTTCAGCCAGCAGGCGTAGCTCTCGACACTGCTGCCGCAGCAGAAGCCAGGAGCGCACATTTCTAGCAATGATAGTGGCAGCCTGTTCTTGCTCTGAGTGATCGAGGGCTTGATCATCCTGAAGGGAACAGCGGGGAGGGAGCCCGGCAAAGTTCGTGAAGCCTCTAAGGCTGGGTCAGCTGATGCTACGGGTAGCTGGGCTGTCAGAGGAGTCGAATGAGCAGAATTGAACCGCGTCCTCTTCGCACCAAGTGAACATGTTGTTGTGAGCTTGCGACCGGGAACTCGAGGTTGCACCAGCAGGCTGGTACTCCGCAATTCCGCCCTGTTCCACCTCGACCTCCTCAAGCATTGCAGTGTCTCCAGCATGTTCGTCGTCATAATGGGAGCTCGCAGCATCAGCACCAAGGGTGCATGATCATGCTCCGAGAACGGCTGGACGGAGTCCATAGGGCCTGCCAAAGGATAGCTGCGTCGCTGCAGGACTTGCCCTTCCCCAAACCTCCCATGCCCTGTATCTGCACACAGCTCCCAACAAGTGCGGAGCAACTTAGCGCGAGAGCACCGATTTGCTGGATCTGTCCAACACCGCACTTCAGGCTAATGCGATAACAACTCTTCTTGTGCGCACTCTTTGAACAACGAGGTCGTGTTGCACAGGCACCTTCCCACCAAAGGCCGCTGACGCACGGCATGTCGCCAATGTCGCCTGCTTCACCCAGCTGCGATAGCGTCTCGCGCGCTTCCCACAACTGCAAACACAGCGCTCGATAATGGTAGCCTGCAAGGCGTAAGTGCACACTCAATCACACTCACTGCTAGCACTAGAATACAATTCAGCATGATACCCTAGCTTCTAGTTTGCCCAAGTGTAGCCTACCAGGGAATCTGGCAGGGCCAGCAGCAAAGGCACATCGCAAGCAGCATCCTCTGCCACTTGGTGAATGGGACGGTCCTTGAAATCAAGAATCCTTCCCATGAGGCCTAGCAATGCTGACAAGGCCAGGTCGATGTCTTGAACAGCTGGGCACAGCAACTCCATTCTTTGTGCAATCTCGTCCGATGTCGTATCTTCAATTCTGGAGCGTCGTAGTGCGTCTGGCACCTGAACAAAGGCGAAGTCCCGAATGTTGAGTTTGGAACGGATCATTTTCCACACCGCGGCCAGGTGCTTCATCTTCCACACACCTGGCACGGAAGTAGCGGTTGTGGAAGTCGACGAGCTTGATGAACTGGCTCCAGGACGCGTCGTGTCTTGCAAGGCTTCCACAAGAGCCCGTGGCAGCTGGATCCCAATTGACTCAAGCGCTTGCAGAAGATCGTCGCTCTGCAGGTTATCCGCCTCGTCCAGGAGCAGGGCAGCCCTCTCGAATGCCTGCTCACTTCCCAACAAATCTGCATGTCTGCAACTTCGCAGGCATCCTTCCAAGACTTGGACCGCTTGGTCACAGGGCGGAGGCTGCTTGAATCTATCAGCCAGCGATTCCAAGGGATCCTGAGCCTTTTGGGCATCCGTCTTGTGGCTTCTAAGTCGCAGACCATTGTGGATGCTAGCTAAGTCCAGCCGGCTTTTTCCCGTCCATGTGGCCTGCAGAACATGGCGCGTAAGCAAATTGGTGTCGAAGGATGTCTTTTCCTCACCCAGAGGATCCAGGCATGCGGCTACCGCAAGGTCATCGAATCTGTCGACGCCCATCGAGCACTCCAGGTCCAGCAGAGAGGTGGCCACCACCGCTTGGAGGGTTGCAGTTCCTTGCAAGCTCAGGGCTTGCCGCAAGGCCGGAGGTGCGTCGGGCTCTTGGCAAATAATCTCCACAGCATCCAGGTATGCTTGCCTTCTCTTCAAAAGGTACTCCATGATCCGGAACAGGAAGTCGTGACCATCGTGTGTTCCGTGCAGGGACAACACGTCCAGCACCGGCGTCTCCAGGTCGAGGACTGGCAGTCCTCAGCTTGGCGACAAATGGAAACAACACGCAGTATGGGAAGGAAAAGCCACGAAAAGCCTAGCAGCGTGCAGGCTCATCGCAGCCACCAATAGGTAGGATGCCATTCGTGGCCCTGTGGAAGCTGCGGCAGGCTTGTAGGGCTTCGCCGCAGAGGCGATCTCCGTGTGGCTGACCCACGGGCCTCTCTCGGTGGGAGTAGTACTCCTGCACACTCGTCGCGGCAGGAGGGAGAGTACGTATGTGTATACGTTAGCTTACCCAACACTGTCCTGAAGCGCCTGGCGCACGCTCAGACTGGCAAGTTCCTCGCAGGACCAACCTTTTCTGCAGGTGAAATCGCCGAAGTCGGCATGGAGCCAAATGTAAAACCGCATGATGGGTGGCACCAGAGACATCAAACCGAGATCCTTGCTTGGACCAGGCACCGAACAATAAGCAGCGCCGAAGACGGCCAAAAGACTCAACATATGCTCGATTTCCTCCGAGAAGCATCGCGGGCAGCACAGAATCGAAGAAGCAGCCGGGCCTCGACATTGAAGTCCGCCAATTCGGAAAGTGCCAACTCAAAGTCGGAGAACGTCGCCCTGCGGGGCACAGACCTCATGACTTCTGATAGGTTGCTCTGTTGTAAACAGTCCATCCGCTCCGGCAGCATGTGCAGCTCGTTAGAAAGGATGTCACGAAAGACTGTTTCGGCATCCGTCTGTGCACCAGCATCCATGTATAGGTTTCTGAAAACACAATCTGGCTGGAAGCACTCGGCCGCGATGCGCTCAAACATCCGGTTCATCAGGACCTGGCACTGTGAAGCTGCAACACGGAACAAGCCGCAGCTGAAGCATCTCGTAATGTCGTACACGCATAACTTATGTACACGACAGGGGCTCGGGAAGAGGAGCTTTGGCAATTGCTTGCATGCCAGGCACCTGCACCTGCTCTCCTGCGAGCTGCAGATGAGCTTGCAGGAATTCCCAGGACGTAGCCGTACGCTGGTAGCAGAAGTTCGCTGTGCGGTCCGATTGGCTCTCACCGTGTGCATTCAAGTATGTCCTCAATGGGCGCATTCTGAAGTCAAGCCGCAAGCCGGCTAGAACGTCGACCTACACCCGTCTTCTACTCTTCGGGGTCCAAGGCTCTCACGCTGGGAGTGGATGGATGAAGGGGTCAAGACCCGGTCAAACAAGCTGACGGCAACATCTGGAAAGAAGGCGAAACTGAGGCAGAAGGCCCCATAACTTTGGAAGTAGCTGGCCACTGCGGCTGGAGCGGGCCAGTGGGGATTGGCCTCCATTCTGCGCAGCTTCCCGTCAAACTCGAAGACACATCCACAGTCATAGTGGATGCTTCCGATCGCTCTGTTTGAGGTGCTGCCAAATCCGTACGTGCCGTGCAAAGATCCAGGGTCGACAACATGCTGCCAGAAATGATACCTCCGGTCACCCTGCATCAACAGGCAGCAAGCAAGGCCGTTGACAAGGCAGTGGCGGATCTGCACCTGCAGCTGGTCGTTGCAGTCGAGCTGGAACCTGACTGTCCAGGTCATGGGCGCCAGATGTACAAACAGCAACTCCTACCGCTACTCACACTGACACGCACGCATTCCAGGCACGCTTGTGCCCTTCGCCGACCATCGATTGTCTGACCCACCCACTCACCCGCCCACCCACCCTCGCTCATGAACCAAGTGAGCTGTGTTGTTTTGCTTTTGTGTTATATCCGCTCAACTCCTCAGGATGCCCTGGGGTTGGGGACCTCTGCTCAGCAAGAGAGATACGACTGATCGTCCGCAGAATCCATTGATGGTTTGAGGAGTCTAACCTTCCTTACTGGCCATGTCATCATATAGTCTGCGACGGAGGCAAAACAAGCGATCATGACACTTGAAGGCTCACCTGCACATCTTGCCTTGGTCAAGAATTGCCCTGCAGTCGCTGTAAGTTGCGTAATGCCATGCAGGGGGCATCTGAGCGACAGAATTCTGCGAGTTGTAGCCCGGCTGGCATCCCGCTGGATCAATCAAGCAGGCGAAGATGTGACGCTCCTCATCTGAGATGTCCAGCGCTTGCGCCAACTTGGGTAGCCAGTCCAACATCATGTGGAGGCTCGCATTGGCCTCCAGCGTATAGTAGCCTCAAGGTGATTGCTGGGCTGCTAGGCGGATGCATGCTGCTTTCCGTCGCGCTCATAAATCCATCCTGGCAGCCGTGATAGGCTAGCAGGATTAACCTCAGCTGGCTAAAAGTGGTATGGGCTCTCGGAACAAGGCTGCCAAGAACAGCTTGCATGAGACATCTTGCCTGCAGCAAAGACACATGGTCTTGACATGTCCCGGGCCCCGTGCATCACGAAGACGAACACAAGCCTTGAACATCAAATCTTCGTCAGATTTGGCCAAAGCATCTTGCAAGAAGCTCGACAAGGATCGATAGTCTGCCTCCTGCAGCAGGTGAACTCAACGTGGCGCACTTATCTATGTCGAAATTCATCTGGTTCGTCAGCACTTCGCTACACAGAGCGCCTTACACTCCAACCTGCTCCTAGATGGAGTTGTGCAGTCTTGAACAACTACATATGCTGCCCAGTAGCCGCAGTGCTCCATGAATCGGATGGGAGGAAGAGGAAAGTCGGCAAGGCCAGTCTCCAAGATGCAGAGCGGCCTCGCTTGATGCAATGGCCATCTGAAGCTGTCAAGTCTGGTGTTTCGCCGAGCAGCTCCAACGGCTTGTGGAATTCTGGGCATGACAATCACTTTGGGACAGAAGACCCAAAATTTCCGGCACGGCCGGGATGGCCTCAGCCCCGGCCCATGACAAGATGCAACCGGCTAGCCTCGCAATAGTCACAACCGCCGAGCTCAGGCATCTGCAGTTCTCAAATCCTCGCGCTGCAACAGCTCCTGCTCGCCAAGCACCAATTCCAGCAAGCGCTGCTGACCAAGTTGCAGTCAAAACCTCCAGCCTGAAGGTATTGCCAGCCGCGCTGGTAGTACACCTCCTTCAGAAACACCTGTTAATCACACTGCCCCGAAGACCACGGCTTGCTTCCATAACTACTCACAGAGCTGCACACAGTAAAGCATCACAAAAGCGCTTGCTTCGAGGCCGCTGGCCAAGAACTGTTCTGAGGCAGGCGACTGGACCGTGCGCCGCCAAAAAAAGTTGCGAGGCTTCACGCAGAAGGGCATCATCTTGACCTGACAGCGCTAAGAAGGGGCTCATGTCCCTCAACGTTGGGTGGTATACTCAGCATGATTTGGCTGTTTTGTTGGCCCTGCTACCGAGTAGCGAAGCAAATCGTCCACTTGCAGGCCGTCTTCACTCAACAGTCGTGCCAGGTGCTTGGTGAATACAAACTCCCAAGCTGCAAGTTCGATTGAGTCGACGACTCTCGGATCATGACCTTAGTGGTTGACACGTTTTGCGATGTTTGATCACCAGATCGAGCGAGGCGGAGAGAGAGAGAGAGAGAGAAGAAGAAGAAGAAGCAGAAGAAGAAGAAGATGGCGAGACAGAGCTCCCATGGGACTACGAAGGCAAGCTCGGGCTCTGGCTGAAGAGTCTCTGTCGTGAGCTAAATGCCATCAGCAGTCCCGACCGTCCATTTGCCGTGCACAGGGAGTCGCATCTCCAAGCGAAACAGAGATCTGCCAACCTTCCGATGCCAAACAATTTGACGCAATGCTATGTGCAGACCCGCGACGACCTGCAGACAGCCTATACGCAGCTTTTGGTGCGGAGTCGTCTAGAACCTCAGGGTAGAACAGATCCCGCCTGGAAGAGTCGTCTCGGCTTTGGGCAACGTAGGGCGGCAGGTATCGATGCTCCTTGCAGACCAAGTCCTCTGCAATTTGATCCAGGCCAAGCTTCGAGATCGCGAGGACTGCAAGCTCGTCCGATAGAAGGACTTGTCCTCTTGGCCATCCATGCCAGAAGCTTGCGAGCATGTCCTCTTGCCTTCCAGGAGCCAGCTTGGCTTTGAAGTCTGCACCCTGATGGCACAGTATCTTCACAACCAAACTCCTGGCAACGCTTGCCAGTTGGCTTTCTTCCAGCGACACATCGTTGAGAGCCGTGAGAACTGATGCGAAGTCTCGTTCGGCACCGGCATCTTTCAGCTCACAAAGGCACGCCAGCGGAATGCTGGATGAAGAGTCGCTACCCAAAAGAAACACAAAAAGGGACATCACCTGAAGCTGCCCACCTCCGGGACCTCTCTTTAGCATGCGTGCTGAGAGCAAGTGCGGCTCTGCAAGGGCATAGAGCCGAGTCCATGCCTTAACAGCATCGCTTTCACCGGTCTCTTGCTGGCTGATTCGCGACAGCTCCGTCCAAAGCAATTTGCACAAGCATTGTGTTGCTTGCTCTTCCATGCGCTTGCGCCATTCCTCCAGCTCATAGGCTGACTGCTCAGCTTCTACTTGTGGCACCCCACTGGCACTGCATCCAAATCGAGGGCCCAGTCCGTTTGCTCCACCGGCCTCCTTCGCCAGTGCGGCAACTGCATCTTGTCCCAGGGGGCATTCACTGCACAGTTGCAGAACCGTCGACAAGTTACCAAGCCTGCGAGAATGTGCATGATGGCTGGCGCAGAGACATGCTAGTTGGTGTACGATGTCCGATTCTGCTGGCAAGGGTGCGAAAAGCCACATCAGCTGAAGACTCAGCATCTCACTGGGCGCAGCTAGGCCGCCACAGCTTTTCTCCAACAGAAATATGGCGTACTCTCTGACCAGCCCATCTTGTGCTGACTGGCACAGGTCCAGGATGCGCAAGTCGTCTCTTGCCAGTTCGGCCAACCTGGAAACAAGAGCTGGGTCATCGCACTGGTCAGGTTGAATGCGGCGGAGTGCATGCAGCAGCATCTGCTCCAGGCTCATCTGCAAATACTGGAACAGAGGAGATGCTGCACATGACTGCAATCCGGAAGGGATGTCCACGAACTTCTCCTTGGCATGGTAACCCTCAGACTTGCTTACTGTAAGACACAGTAGTCATGTGCTTTGCCAGCGACGGCGCCAGGGCTTACTACGACTTATTTATGCATGGCTTCAGCTAGACTTAGATGCCCCTCAGCACAGCAGCCAGGAGTCCAAAGCCGTCCCGGTCTGGGAGCAGACGGGTAGGAACGGGAGCAAAGACGTTGCCACCCCATGGTCATCTGCTATCAAAGTGCGAAGTCCCCCATTTGCGCAGAGTGCTCTCAAGTAGCTCGTGGCGTGCTGCCGAAATTCTCCATGCAGCTGCAACCTCAACGCATCGGTAAAAGACATGAGCCGGCGCCCATCACGGACTTGCTGAGCCAGATGAATGAGTTGGCCGTGCAAGGTGGGTTTAGCCAAAGAGTCGTGGAAGGTGGTGAGGAGGTGCTGCCAGATTTTTGGATGCTTGTGCAGCACAAGGGTCACAGCACTTGTCCTTTCTTGCACGGTGGCCTCCGGCACATAGAAACGCTGCACTTTCTGCTCATCTGAAGATCCAGTCCGAATCTGGTTGAAAAGGTAGCCCATGCCCCTGCCGACCGTCGCCGCCAAGCTACTGAAGCTGAAAACTAAAGTCGCGTTTTCGGGTCTGGGCTCCGGTGCCGGAGGCCTCAAAGATCGGCTGGGAACTGTGCGGACCCTCCTGCAGAAATCCACCACATACTTCTCTTGGCTCTGCTCCTCGCTGAAGATGCGCAGCTCTCGCTGGGCGTCTTTGGCGGAAGCCATGACTTCCTTGATGAGCCACTCCTCGTCGAAAGCGGCACAATGGCCGAGGGAGTCGATGAAGAAAAAGTCCCAGCCGTCAAGGAACAAACAGGGATACAGGCTTCCAGCGATGACCTGCTCCGGCGCATAGTGAAGTAGGACTGCAAACAAAGTCGAAGGGCTTTCCCTGGCCTTGCGATCCACAACGGTGCGTAGGCAGGAGACACGCTCATTGCTGGAGTGCTCCATGTCCACCACGAGAAGCACAGTATGCGCTGAACAGGTTTGTGCACAGCTTCCCTGGAGCTTTACTTCGAGAGAAGCCGTGGTGCTCACCTCACCAGCATCGATAACACTTACGCGCTCAGAGCCTCCAGATTCCCACAGTGTGTTCTTGCCACAGCTCTGCTGTAGGATGCGAATCTCAGCTGAACTGCGAGTGTACAACACCAGTTTCGGGAGAGAGGATCCGGCATTGGTGCGCGCGGTCGCGAGCAGACCGACAAGTGAAAAGTGGCTCTGATGGAGGAAGTAGGCGTTGCGGTAGAAGTCTGCGTGCCCCAGTTTGCTGGCATGGTTCACCATCTGCTCCGGAGGCAGTAGCTGCAACAGCCTCACTGCCATGACTTGTACAGCCGTGCTCGCGTTGAGCTCTAGGCCTTCGCTGCACAAAGTTGCAAATTCATGCAGACACCTCTTGTTGCTCTGCAGGCCGGAGACCATTGAGAGCAGCAGAGAGTCCACAGTGTGCTCAGCCAAGCCCGCGAAAGATTTGGCACCAAGCTTTGACACAAGCTCCTGGATGGTGTCCAGAGCTGTTCTCACCGCCTTCCGCTGGACGTCCCGAGCAAGGGCCCTGCCCAGGCGTTCGTGCAGGACCTGTTCTAAAGGAAGGGACACCACAGAGAAACGAGACCTGAGAGCCGCAGGCTGGTTCAGGAAGTCTTCCTTTCGCATTTGCAAGACCAACAGGAAGCTGGGGTGAACGCGGCAGTAGTGCACCCTAGGCCCATGTGCAATCATGATGTACAGGATCTGCTGGCCTTCGGCGGACTCCGTCACTCGATAGTTCTGGTTCAAGAGGTTGTAGAAACTGCATAGTAGTTTGCCCGAGCTGCAATTGCGCAGCAAGACCGGCTTGCCCGACTCCATGCACAGGGTCATTTGGGACACGCATTCCGAGCAGCTGAAGTCGTCAGCTTCGTTGGAGTAGTCCTGAACATCGATGACTTCAATCTCTTCAGGCAACACCTCTTCCTGGACGAGTATTCGGCAAGCACTGTCATCCTTCATGTCATCTAGCACGATGCAAAAGCGGGGCGCAAGGTGTGGGCTGCCTTTTGTGAGGCACTGCTCACGCTCTCCGAAGATGCAGGCCCGAGCTAATTCCAAGCATCCACGAAGAGATTCAAGGCCCCCCGCACTTGCGAACTCAGAGCTGTTGGGTGGGAATTCTCGGGCGATTGCTTGGCAAAAGATCTGCATCACTGCCAAGATGCTCACATCTGGAGCTTGAAAATTCTCTTCCACTGCCCGGCAGATGTGCTCGGGAGTTAAGAGCTTTCTTTTCACGACGCAGTGCAATCTCAAATTGCGGAGCAGTGAAATGAAGTGACGCTGGGAGAAGACCCCACGGAAACGAGGATCAGCGAGGATGTCGACAAATGCGCGCGCCAAGCCACGCAGAATTGAGTGAGTGCGTTCAGGCAGCCGGTCTATCCCCGACTTGCCCAGCACCCCCAATCCGATCTCCATGAAGTCCTCCAGTGTCTGCGTGTGGCGGATGAAAATTGACATTCGGTTCATGTTGGCAGCATCCAGGGGACTGCCAGAAACTATGATTGTCGCCACCTGCCGCTCATCCAGCACATCGTGGAGAGGCTTCATGACCATGCGGCACTCCTGGGGTAGCTGTGCCTCATCAAAGAAGGGCACGCAGCGTTCCTTCCCGCCATGTTGCTCGTACATCTGCTCCCGTCTGGTCGCTCCACTCAGGATGTCTTCGATTTCAGCAGCCTTGCTGTCAGGTGAGCATTGATAGAAGAAAGGGTCTACAGCCCTGAAGCGTTTGCAAAACTCCTTGGGCGACTGTGCACCACGCAGGTTTTGCACAAGGACCTCGAAGGCCAAAGTCTTGCCCCGCCCAGGGGAGCCCAGAATGCAGCTGGCAAGCTTCGTCTGGGTTGTAATCAGCATGGCAAAGAGGTTCTCTTTTAGGTCACGATTCAGTGCGACTCCCTCCGGCAGCAGAAAGTTCTGCTCAGAGATGTAGCAGTTCACTCCGGCAGTCACCTGCATGTAGCACGAAGCTGTCTAGCATGATTCGGACACGAGTTGGGAAACATCTGCTGCGAATCTGTTCGGCAGATCCTTTAGCTTTGGGAAGCATGAATTCTCGTGCTCACATGTGTCCGACGGCCTCATGAGAACCAATAGTGGTTGACATGACTTGGCTTACAGCTGTTGCTGCGCCACGCACGTGGCCTTCCGCTGTCTCACAACTGCTCTATACTTCGTCCTTCACGCATCTCGCTAAGTCAGAAGTCGCAAGCAATGCGAAGCCCAAATATTGAACAACTGCTAAACTGAATCATGCAAGTCTTCTCCCTAAACCCAAGATGCAGGGTACCGAGCTTGTGGGGGATTAGTACATGAGACTGAACGCACAAGCGTGCCTCTTCTTGAAAGTTCATGCCCACGACTTGCTGGACCAACTCGCAGAGCTCTTGCTTCAAGTCGTGCCCTGCAGGCTGTGCGACTCTGTCCAGAAACACATGACACCAGCTAGGTCTAGGTATGCTACTCATACTTTGTGCTGCAACCGCTGGGGAAGCTGAGTTTCCACTTGCAGCGGCCTGTGACGGCTTCGTCACCCATGCCGTAGTTGCACCCATCAGAGAGCCGAAAGTAGTACACGACGGCCAAAGACAACAGAATGCACCGCATGACTCTGTCATTTGGCCGTTCAGAGCCGGGCCAATGACGCTGGAAGTACTCCAGCACAGTCAAGCACCGTTGGAGGTCGCGCTGGCTCACAGAGCTCTCACCTACTTTCTGCAGGAAGAGCTCCTGGGATTTGCACATCAAGAGCGCAAACTGATTCTCCAAGTGCTCCCCCAGGAAGGAGCATCCTCTGAACTGGAGCTTGATCTTCTGCTTGATGAACTCCTGGAGTTCTGTTCTTTCGAGCGGAGGAAACTGCCAGCGGTGGGCCATCATTGAAGTCGGTAGCTTGTGGACGAAGTATTCCTCGCGGTGTGCCAAAGCCTGGTCTCCCGGGCCATCGCCGGAAGCCGAGTTGCGAGGTGTGTAGGGATTCATGCACCCCAAGAAAAAGATGTTGTCCGGCAGCACCACTCCCTGGAAGGTGTGATCGACAATGATCTCCTTCAAAATTCCAAGGATCTCCGAGGTGTTCAGCTCATCGAAAAGCACGACCTGCTTCACTTTGGGGACTCGCTTGGCCAAGTCAAGAATCGGCCCCAGAAAGTTCTCCAATCCATGGACATTCAGGTCAGGATGAAGCAGAAGTCGGTGGAACACGCTTGCCACTGGGCATTGAAGAAATTGGCCTCGGTCGCTTTGCAGAACTCTTGCTCATCCGTGTCATGTTCAGTTTCCGCGATAACCGCGTGCTGGATACAGAACTCCCATCAGAAACACGACCAGCAAGCAAGTGACTCAGCAGCTCTCTGGCGTTCCCAGGAGTTGGCGACATCTCTTCCAGGTACTCGCAAAGCCTGGGTGAGGCCTGGAAAGCCACGCACAAGAGGCTTGACATGATGATGATGATGGTGATGATGATGAAAACGAGTCTTGCCTTATGACTGCTAAGTGGCTGTTGTAAACACGATTATGATTCTCGTGCTTCATTCATGGCTTCGAATATGACTATGACTTACGAGTCTATGACTATTGAACTGGTATTGTTGATATTTTTCGATTACTAAAGCCGTGACAGCTATGCACATGACTATGATTATGATGATGGCTGCCAGTATCCATCGGATCGAGCGCCTCCAACAAAGGGCACTGGTCCAGCCACTCGGCCACTTTCTCCCAGAGCTCGTCTGCCAAGGATTCTGGCGGAGCCAGCAATTCTGCCTTGGCCGACAAATATGGAAACCCTTGAAAAGCACATGCAAGACTCCGCCGTAAGGAGACGACAGTGTCCTGGCGTTGCAGCTCGTCCAGCTCCTGCGAGGAATCGAATCGGGCAAACTACAAGGCGCTTTCGGGGACGGTCACGAAAACGTGCGGTGGTTCACAATACCTGCCCAAGATCCGTACACTTTTCTGAGCATCGTTTAGTTAGGGCTCGAAATTCATGTCCTCCTGCAGCTTCTCAAACAGCTCCACCAGCAGAGCCGTGTCAGTCCATGAGGACTCTAGAAGCCTCGCGGTATGCCAAACAGAAGGACAGGCCGACAGATACTTTAAAAACAAGCAAGAGTATGAGCACTGTAGGTTGGCTGAGAGAACTGACTCATAGCTCGCAAGGGCTTGTGATGCTTGCTGCGCAAAACAACAGGCGACGGACTGACAACGCTGTCATTGCTTCTCCAGGTTATCATTCGCAGCTTCGTGGGAAAAACAACAGCGAGAAGACTATGGTCCTGCCTGTTGTTGAGCTCATGCCGCTTTTGTTGGTCCGCTATTCGTGGCAATATGGATTCTCGCAGCCACGTCTTCACGCGCCATGTAGTTCTTGGTGCTTCGTCAAAGTCACTGTCCTGAGGCTTCATCTGATACATTTCGTTGGCTAATGCTTGCTCATTCTTGGCACGCCTCTCGTCTGTGAGAGTAGTGCATGGACTGCAAAATCTCTTGCAGAGTGGGCTCCTTCTTCAGTAGCTTGTTATTCAACAAGCGGGCCTGGGAACGTCACGTGAGAACACGGCCGCTGAATCATCCTCGCTACCCTGATACCCAAGCTGAGACTGGCGCGTAGACCTTGATCGGAAATGTCTTGCCCACACCCGTAAGGCCTTCAATGATCACGGGCTCACCAGCGAGACGCCGTTCGTGAATGCACAGTAGACGAAAAGTGATGTCCTGAAAAGCACAGCGCGGAATGAGTTTTGACATACTTACGTCCTCAGACACACATCCCTGAAGTTGGAATCACAGGAACTGGCCTCTCTTGAGCAAACATTCAGTCAGTCCTCGACCAGAACGAAGCCAAGCTCGCAACAAGCTTCTTTCACCTCCCTTTCTTGCAAGCCCAACGTCCATGCCAGCATGGCCGCCCCGTTGTCCTCAATAGCTTGCACGAAGCCCTCTAACTTGTGCGGGTGTCAGTACGGCTTGCTGCACATGCAACATGATTCCTAAAATCTGGCTGACGCAAGAGGCAAGTCAGGCGCCTGTCTATGCCGGACTTGATACAGCCGCTGATTACTCAACCAGTCGAGCGACACACATATCTCGCCCGGGCTGATGTAGGTATTGTCGACCGTCTGCGACATACTTTATAAGATCTCGCGGAACTTCGCCGCGCCCTTCGAAGAGGTACAGGGCCCAACCACTGTCGTACACTAGCATTGGCTTGGGGGTATGGGAAGCACCAACCCCCAAACCTGTCGCCGTCAGCATTGCAGCCTCCCGTATCATTTGATCGAACACAGCACTGCCCAACCCAGAATACTGTGTGTTGTATACATAGAAGTCACTTTTGAAGAATTTGAAGCGTCGTTCCAAGTAGTGCACAAAGCTCTTGATGTTGCGTTTGTTCGGAGCTTGGCTGCAGCTGGTCCTGAAAGCATCATAAATCAACTGACCTCAGTCGCATGAATTGATCCAGCTCGTAGTCTGTTAGGTGCATTCTAATTACGGCAAACCGACCAGCACAAATACAACTAGTAGTGTCATCAAACCATGTGGCCAAGAGACGGCACACGAAATCATCCACGACTTCCGGGTGGCTTACGGGCACATTGAAACCCAATTTGTCAATTGCTCGCTGTCCTCCCTGGCGAGGCGGAAGGCCTGCCTGAAGGCAAGGGCTGCTGTTCTACAAGCACAACACTACCGAAGCAGCTCGCAAGACCTCAACACCTAAATAATGCAATTATTAGGCTTGTGTGGATGGCGGCCTGCAAGAACTTTGCCACGAAATGCTCGGCAGGGCCGACGCGCAGCTGGTGCGTGTTGTCACAGATCATCTTGAGCTCTGCATGGCATATATTCAGAACCGGGAAAATGTGCAATGTCGAAGCTGCTGGGGAAATATCCTCCGTCGGGCGACCATCTGACGTCAGATCTGGAACTTCAATGCACCAGGTCAGCCGCTTGCTTGGGCCAGCTGCAAAGACGGACCCGTTGGAGGACAAACGCCAGGTTCGGCAAAGGAGCAGGTCAAAAAGCAGGCGGTTGACGTAGAGGTGGTTGGCATCTTCGGATATCTTGAGGCCAATACCCCGGTCCTGCGCAGCCAACCTGTTCATGGTCACTTGAGCACGCTTCTCGTCGAAATGGGCGGTGATGCTCAGGAGTGGCGTGTCGCTCCCGAGCATGTTGTGCAGCATGTCCGTCTTCCCGGCACCGGCAGGACCGTATACCACCGTGATGCTGTCTCTTCGCGTACCAAATGCTGACCGCAACTCATCATCGTCTAGAAGCTGAACTGTCATTTCTTGAATGAAATCTGGCTGCGGGGGGACCTGGATTCCGGTGTAGGTGTAGAAGACCCGGCCGTGCGCTTTCTCCTTGTCGTGCAGCTGCCATTGGATCTCTTGAACTCGTTTCTGCAGAGGCAAGGGCAGACTGTTGACACCAAGGACGACGAAGGTGCCCCCAGACACAAGCTCCACCCGTTGGAAGAAATCATCGAGACCGTGCAGTTGGAGCGACGGATGGCATCGCAAAATGCACCTGTCAGACTTTGCACCAGCTCGTGCCAACAGGCTAATCTCCGACCTCCAACAATCTGCTGGCAAACTCATGGCAGCTTGGTAGTGACCCTGACTTACCCCTCCAAGGGCACGCTTTGCTGCCTGAATCCCGAGCTTCTCCAAAGTCTTCTGCAGTTGCTTCATGGCCTGCTCCAGCGGCAGTGCTTCGCTGGGGCCAGACTTGGAGTTCCAGAAGCTCATCAACTTCTGCATCAAGTCATTTGGCACCACCGCCAGATCTCTGAGGCTGTGCAGGAGGCTTTCCAAACACTGGGCCGCGAGGGTTGCCTCCAAGCTTTTCCTGCTGTTCTCGTCTTCGGGCCACTCTGTTGGGCCAAGCAGAGATTCGACCACCCTCTTGCGTTGGACATGGCCGGGGGTGCTCAGCGCGATAAGGACAAACATCTCACGGCTATCGAAAAGAGACAGAAGCGCACACTGCACGCGCGAGGATTGCAGCAGCGACTTCCATGCATCCTGCCGCCGTTTCAAGTCTTCAGCCTCGCCACTGAGAGTGCTCAAAGAGCCTCCCAATGAGAATTCCAGCTCCTTGAGCTGAAACTCAGGATGCCCGCTTGCTTCCAAGTCTTGAAGGCACTGCAGAATCTCGAAAACCTGCAACAAGCAGTGCATTGAAACCGCTCAGCTGCACCGCTTTACGGCAAGGCCGTAAGTGCATTACGCTCACAACGGACGACCGGCCTTCTTCAACTTTTTGCTGCACGTCCTTGCAGCATTGTAGCAATCTGACTGCCCGTCTGCTTGGTTCGAGCGGCCTTTGCCTCGGTTTGCAATTCGTTTGCCCTGCAAGATCGCTCCAATGACTGCTTCTGTTCTTCAGAGCGCGAGCAGTTGTTCAGCATAGCCATCATGGACTTATCTTCCGGATGAAGTCACACACCACTTCAGGCAAGAGACTGTGGAACGCGAGCTGTCGCAGCAATTCGCCTGGGAGCGCATGTGTCGTGCCACACTAGGCTGATGCCTATGCCTGACAGAACGAAGGTCTGCGGGTCGCAGCTCAAAACTCATTTGGCCCAGCTACGTGTCTCGGCCTCACTCATTCGGACCTTGGAGGAACTGGCTCGAACCGATCTGGAGCCGTCAAAGAGGTAGTTGACGCAGGCAGAGTGCGGCTTCCCTTCCAAAGCATTCAGCTGCACCACGAAGGTGCCGGTTTCATCAAGTGCACGGGAGGTCGCCATCGCGTTCTCCCATGACTTGCCTGGCAGGACATCCGGTCTGAGGGCTCACTTCATGCAGCAGCGCAGAGTTTGGCTCATAACGGATTTCGGCTACCGAAGCTCCAATCCTGCGTGGCTGCTATCCTCCAAGTGCACCCACAACATGTCCGCTCTTCACACACCACGAGACACTCACGAGATGACACACTTTGCAACGCCCAGTGAATAGTGCCACAACAATACTCGCAAAGACGCTACAGTCACTACAGCACACAATTTGACGTCGTATGCCTTGCACTCTGGAGAACCAGCGCCGCACGAGGCCAAGCTGGTCATGGACGCGGCTCGCAATTTCCAAATGGCGAGGCTGCAAGTCACCCAATCCGACCACAAGGTTCTTCACAAAGTCTGCCAATGAATTGCATCTGGTCAAGAAGGGGGTAACAAGCCTGCAGACCTCCTGAGCAAGCGAAGAAGAAACAAAGAAATGCCAAGAATGCATGGAAAGTTGACAGGACAACGATAAAATGCAGAAACACTCCAGCAACCATGGTTCAAGGACCTCGTTCAGGAGCATCCTTTCGACATTCTGCCCCCGCAGCTGAATGGTCAAGCTGTTCTTGATCTGTTCGAAATGATGTTGGCCCTTGACAGAAACGTACTCGATCTCCTTGAAAAAGTCGATCACGGCTGAACCTCGGATCGGGAACAACCTTCACGAATCGGAGGTTACATCCGCAAGTTGTGGTGTGCTAACGTGTGCTAGTACGCTTGGGCGGCAGCAATCTCGGAACTTGGCAATCAGGCTGAAGTGAATATCGCGAAGGGAACCTTCAGGGCACCGGAACAGCTGTTCGAGCTTCTCATACTCCTTGGGCGCTTCGCGAAGTAGTCGATTCGGACGTCTCTGGCTTTCCAGCTCAATGTAGCAAATGTCTGGGTCATCCTCTGGGACCAGACCAAAGCCTTTGGCGACCGCGGCCACCACATGGGCAGCAACAGAGTACTGCAGAAGCTTCAAGGCTCGCTGAATAGTTGCCGGCAGCTCCTCGCTGGTGTGCGCATAGCCTTCGTAGGACGTGATCTTGGCAAGCTCGTCCGGAATGTTGACCTGCGGCACAGTCTCATCACAAGGAACATCTGAAATCCCTCCCCTCCGCCCCACTCCGCACCTGTTGTGTCATATCGATGAATACTTTGGCATCCTGTAGCTTGATGTCCGTGCGAAGTAATGCCTGAATGAGGCGGTCTGTTTCAAGCACCCAGAAGGCAGCATCTGCCATGGTCTGCCCTGGATGCTCTGTCGCTTGCAGCAGCACTGCAGCATTAAAGAACTGGGACTCGCGATCGACGAAATGCTGCAACAGCTTCAGGTTCGACTGTAGCGGTCTGAGCTCCCTCTGCACGCGACTGCGATGAGTTCGCAGCCTTTTTAAGGTGAGGGAAGAGGCGCCCAAGTCGATTTCCTGAAGAAGCCCAGCACAGCCCTCTATGTCCCGATCGGCCAGCCACTGCAAGATCTTGCTCAATTGGGCAACCTCTGCGTGCTCTTGCTCATATTGGCGCCTATCAAAGACATCCTGAGGAGCGACCCATCCTTGACACTCTCGCATCACATCCTGAACCTGCATCCACCTCACCCTCGATTGAAAGAGCTGGTCAGCAGTCTCCACTGTCAAGCTCTCAATGTCGTGACTTAGCACCTGCTTTGCACCCTCGAAGAAGGAGACCAACGGGTGCAACAACTCCGACCAAAAAGGCTGACTGTCTTCCTCATATCCTGCGTTCACCAAGTTCCGATGGAAGCAGAGTGCCGCTTTCAAAGAGGCGGAGATCTCGGGAAGAGCTGACAAGTCCACTGAATTTGCCAAGTCAAAGTGCGCAAGAACCGGGGCCATGCTCCGAAGCAGCACAACCACAACGAAGAGGCCTCGGCAAGGTCATGAGGACTACTGCAGAAGGCTTCTTGGATGGACAACACTTGCTTCGAGGGCGAACTCTTGGCGACGTATTCAACCTACTTCTCTTGTATCACGCGTTTGCTCTGCTTGGCTGGTCCCGCGTCTACCCCCCTGAAACTGTAGAGTCGAGTCTCTCAACACAAACTGGATCGTAAGAAATGCTGAAACTCTAATCGTCGAAGCTGCAGGGTGCTAAGTCCCTGATGTGAACTTGCGCGGAAGCCTCCAGGGGGTGTCTTCAGCTAGCTGTTGATCCTGGGGTTCTGCTGATCTCACATTCAGAATGTTGTGGAGTCCTGTGCAATTCCATGGCCTGCCTTGGAAGTGATATGTGCGGATCCGGCATACAACTGATCTTGTGGTGATTTTCTCAGATTCTCCGTCACACTCATACCCGATCCACTGTTGCAAAGCCCCGAAATGCCACTTCGTTTATGAGTCTTGGCCCAGCAGCTCTTGCATGCCGGGCCATCTGGACAGGAGCTGATAAAGCCGTCCATCGTAGTCAGCACCTTCTCTGCCATCTCGTAGGAATGCATAGCCTGTTCCGTGCACAGCTGTGGATAGCAACGAAGTGATGCCATCGCGATGGCGTGCACGAACCAGGCTCCGCATGATGATGCCCAGGCTGCAGACACAAGCTCCTGAAAGTAACTGCGCACGGTTGTCATACTCTTCAGACGGAGGAGACGAACCCGGCCTCTTCGTGAAGGAGTTCATGCCAGAACTCGAAAGGCAGCTCCACGAGCGATGGAATGTCACGCTGCAGGAGTTGCTTAAGTTCTCCGGTGCGGCGGTGCTGTGTGACAGCATCCTGATGCAAAACATGCTGTGAGATCTGCACCACAGAAGCACCAAACATGAAGGCTGCAATGCTTGAAAGAAGCGTCCTTGCTTGCTCCACACCACGGCTGGCGCAGCAACCGCAGGAGCGCTGCCAAGAAGTTTGCTGGACGGCCGGAGCCCTGAAATGACTTCAAAGTCTGCACCGCCCACAGGAGGCCTGTGCACAGAAGCCGCCGAGGTCTACAGCTTATGGACTTGCAACAACTACGCATGATTACGCATGCAAAGCTGTCCTGGCTCGCCACGGAAGTCCTCGCCACCAGCAGCCAACACTGCGCCAGCTGCACTAACGAGACTGTCCCAATGGAAGTTGGTGATGCACGCGAATCTGGAATGTCCGACGTAGCAGCACATGTTGGAAAGTAGCCATGAGGACAGCCAGTGATCTGGATGGCTTTGGATGAATGTGCACGCACGGCCCATGTCCACGTACAGAGGCTGCTGGGTCTTTTGTCGAATGTTGTGCAAAGCTTGCAAAATCTTGTCAGAATAGCTCACCGGTTCTAGCAAGTCCAGCAACTGGACAAAGTCTCTGAACAAATAGCGCGTAAAAGCGACATGCAGCCACTGAAACAAGCCTTCCTGAGACAAACGCTCGCCGTCAACCAGCACGCCCTGGATGATTCGCCAGTCATCGTCGGCTTCCAAGTCCTCGCACCCTCTGCGCAAACAGACGTAGGCCCCCATTTTGCTAACGAAGTCTTCTGGACGATCGGCAACGATCCAAGCAATGTCCAAGGCATGCCGCAATGAAACGCAGTGCAAGAGATTGTGCTGAAGATCAGGATCATGTTGCAACCGTGGCAGGCTGGCATTGTGCCGCTGCATGGCATCGATGGCGGCTTTTGGAGCCTCCTTCATGATACCCCTGCCGTAAGAGAGGAAGTCTTTCCAGTCAAACTGTTGCGGGGGAATGGCAATGCTTACTTGATGGAGGAGAGCAAACACTGTCACAGCTTGCCCTGCAATGCCGTCCAGCTTTGCCTGTTGAGAATTGCCAAAAAGCACGTCGAAGAACTGAAGGAAGGAGTTTTTCTCTACCTGAGGTTGCACACTGTGCCACATGCAATGTCGCATCAACCAATGAGAGCGAGAGGAAGAGATGAACAAAGACAAATTAAATGAAAAGGAGGAGTCAAACGGGGAACACAACGCCATGACAGGCAAACAAGCAGAAGGGCAGACAAGACCGACTTCCGACGGGCATAACTCTTTAAGTGGATGGAATGAAATCGCATCCGTCGGAACCGCCAGTACGGACAGCAACTCTGTCTGCATGCCTGTGCTTAAGATCGCAACCTTGCCGTTTATACTTCGCTTCCGTGAGTTCCAGCTTCCGGTGTCACCCTGCAAGTCTATTAAAGCTTGGCCTGAGTTTGCCGCACTGGGACATGCCAGGTTGCTGCTGCGCGGACAATTTCCAAAGGTCCAGTGAAAAGGTATGCCACATCATGTCCTTTCGGAAGTGAAGCATTCGAGAGCATGACCTGACTGCAAGCAGGCAGAGGTCCTCGAAAGCGCATGATCTCGACCGGCTGATTGGACACCACTTCCCGGAGATCTTCTTGCGTTGAACCCAAAAGGGACCATGCCATGGCCACCGCTCGTCTGGCCGCCGCGAGGGCCACACCCTGCAAATAGCCTGCTAGCATGTACTCGATGATCTTGATTAGGAAATGAAGGAAGAATAGCGGGGAAGGCGCTGGCATCGCCTGATGCTGGAAGTGCTCCCAAAACATGTTGCAAATGCCGGAGGTGTTCCCGTCGAAGTTGTTGCGTGCCCCGAGCGCTTTGTTGTACTCGTCGAAAAGCTGAAAGAACTTGAAAATCTCCCAAACCTCTGGTACTCTTCCAGCCAGTAGCTGGCGGAAAGCCTCCTTCCAGTCCTGGCAGCTTGTTGACCCTGCATGCATGTTCCCTGACCAGCCTTGATTCAGCCAAAAGGCAGTCTCGCCACTGCTCAGCTTTAGCACTGGAGCTGCAACGTAGTTGATTTGCTGCCCTCTTTCCGGATTCCTGCAGAAAACTCTGATACCAGCTGACATCGATTACAGTGGATTTCGGCTAAGACATATATGTCTTACCTATAGGTTTTTCAACAGTGCATGCGCAATTTCCCCATGCTTCGCCGCAGTCCTCACATCTGTGCCGCTGGCAGAACTGCACGAGCCTGCACTGAGCTGATGTTCGCAAGCTGCAACCCTCTCAGTCTGGAGCAGAAAGCGACGAAAGCAACGAGCCTGCGGCATGGGATGGCACCGGCGCTCGTGGCCCGCTTTTGATTCCACCACCTGGGTCAACGGATTGGCTCGGAAGTCCTTCCAATGTCAAAAGCTCCAGCATTCAGCCCAGGCCGCGGTTCCTCAGGAAGAATCGGCTGGCACGGACGGTCCGACCGCGAAGTGCAGGCGGCGGCGGCGGTGGCGTTGATTGCGGATGCTTGTCTGGCTCTGGCATGATTGCTCTTGCCGCTGTCCGTGGCAAGAGCACTCCACTGAGGCAGGCCAGATTTGCACTAAACTAAATGAGCCTATGGCTGCAGCAGGTCTTCGAGGTCAATACTAGAATCAAGAGTCTAGCAAAAGGCTCCTTGAGCTGACCACATAAGTGAGGCCTAATCAGCGGAAAAGGGTTTCGCCGAACTAGCGCATCACAAGAACTCATGCGGGGTCCTTGTAAGGGTCCTACTTCAGTGGTTCGGTTCTCCTTTGCTTTCGGAAACTCACATTGTCAGAGCAGAACCGACATCCATCATAGAACCTGCAGCAGACTGTAGCATGGCCACTTTGCGGTTTGACCTGGCGACCGAGTTGTAGGCCCATCCAAGCCGATAGCCGTTCATGACTTTAAGGTGGAGGTGTTTTGCTGTGGGGCCTGACAGGGTGGCGCTTCCGGACATGCCAGGATCATTGACTGAGGCCCAGTGGCTTCCACAGTTTGCAAGCTCTCAGACCTTGCATGTAGTCAAATGTAGTCACGACTCGACTCTCTCCCGTCGACCGACATTTTCTGGCCACGTCCACGAGCAGATCCATGACTCATGAAGCCGCCTTTTTTCAGCGGCTTCCTGCTGTACATGGATCCTCCTCACATTCTCAGACAAGGCGGAGATCCGACGTATTGCCAGTCGCCAAGTCTATTTTGGGGAAGGTTGAAAACACGAGCCAGTAAGGCTTGGGAAGACCTGTGCCATGTCCCACCATGGAGTTGGGGAAGTCATCAACTCGGCCCTACATGGGCCGCACAAGTCCTCAAAATGGCCTACCGAGCGTTCTGGATGTCAAAATACCATCTTCATCCGGCACGAGGGAGTCCGTCGTAGCCTCGGCTCCAGGGGTATTCCTTCGCCCTGCAGTCATAAAGGCTTGGGCAAGCTTTCAGTGCTTGATGCGGCATTCAGCCGAGTCTTGCTAAGCGAGGTGAGCAAGTGATCACCAAGGCCGCAGCTGGGAGAGTCCAGGATGGCTTGACAGACCTCGTCAAGAAGACACACAGAGACCCATCAGCAGGCACACGGCTGAAAGCAGTGATCCGAGGATAAAGCCTCGGTGACGAAGGCCTGGTGTCAAAGGCTTCGCACTTGTCAGACGTGATGCCTGATGATGCCTGCGATTGAAACCCCTGAGCTAAGCACTCTTTGTATCTTTTCTTCAGCCTCTCCATCTCACTCACCTGATCTGGGCATGTTGCGCAAGATCCTAAAACGCCGAGCCGACTGAGGCAAGGGCAGCAGCGGCACTTTTGGCCTTGATGCCGCAGAAATCCGTTTCCAACCTGTGCATCGGAGAGAATCATTTTCGCCGCAGCGTTCGTACTTGACGGAGGGTCATCCAGTGCGTTCGCCGATTTTGCTTCAAAAGCTGCTCCGATTTGCGGATTTTCGATGCAAAACAACCCAATGGGCCTGCCCATGAAACAGGAAACTGATGAAGCTTGAATCCCAAATCATCAAACCACTGCTCTTAAATCGCGGTGCTCAATCCCCGACGACCTGTAATACTGCCAAGCGGAATTTTTGGCAACCAGCAGGTGCACCACAAACCTGAACTCTGCCTTGCTCTTCGAGACTTGCCCAGGCTGGCCCCGAAATC